TTACCCAGAGACTCCAAAACCCCTTAATTGAGGACGATAACCTTAACCTAGGGGCTGAGTACCCTAGCCCAAACAAGGCTAACCTCTTGAAGTATAGTAGGATTATAAGAGCCCAAAAAGGTTAAAGGTTACAAACTCAGTCACTAAGTTAAAACATAGTAAGGATCCCGGTGCACTTCAAGGTAGGTTGCTTAATGTAAGAGCCTCAAGAACTAAAGTAGGGGTTTGGGGTTGTTGTAGCATACGTGTATACGGACGACTAAGGGGGCATCCTTGCTAATGATCCGGACCGCTCTCTTAACTAAAGGGCTGCGTGAAGTCTCTGTCCTAGTGAACTGAGACCGGTGTGAAACTTGTAAACATCATCTGAGCCCAAAGAGCCTCGACAGTGAGCCTAGTGTTACTACCGTTTGAAAGGGTCCTTATAAGGGGGGTTCCAGAAGCTTTCCTGTACGAGGGTTCCAGAACGGTTCCTCCAAGGCTTCCTAGAATTACAAGGCCCCGTTTAAGTTTCACGAAGGGCTCCTTGGAGGATTTTTATTCTACAAGTTTCTTTGAGGGTTCTAGGACGTCGGATTTACGACTTCGGGCGTATGGTTTCAGGATATGGGATTAGGGTCGAGGCCAATGATCTTCCCTTAATGGGGTTACCATGGTTTCAGGGTTTAGGGGCCTGAAAAGCTAGCAGGGTCTTGGTGCCCTTTATAGTATGGATATAATAATTAAGGACCCCCAAAATCACATAGGTAATTCTTTAGGCCCCTACATTATGGGGTTTAGGGTTTAGGAAAATCGTCCACCTGGGAAGAGTCGTTGACTGAGGAACGCTGCAGTGTAGACTCGAAACCCCAAACTGCACATATGGGGGTTTCCGACAATACGGGACCCTAATATAGTACCCTAAATAGTAGGATCCTTATTATAAGGACCCCAAAATACGGCACCCCTCATTTTCGGAACCTCCCACATAAACATTAAGACTTGGACTTATGCAAGGGGTAGCATAACGGATTTGTAAGGGCTAATAGCCCACACCCCTAGCCCTAAACCTTCAACCCCTAAACCCCTAAACCCCAATGTAGGAGTCTTAATAATTCTAGTATACTATACCCCCCAAACCCTATTCTGATGCTTAAGGCCCCCTAAACCCAAACGGGGTGATGACTTTGTAGGAACCCCCTTAGGGGATCTATTTTCTAGATCCTCTTGGGTGTTTGGGAAGCCCCTAATACAGTACCCCAAATAGTAGGATCCTTATTATAAGGACCCCAAAAGAAGGTACCCCTAATTTTCGGAAAGTCCCATATTGGAGTCATTAGGAGTCTTGATAATTCTAGTATACTATACCCCCCAAACCCTATTCTGATTCTTAAGGCCCCCTAAACCCTAACCGGTTTTAATGTCTCGCCCCTCAGAGGCTCAGAAACTTACCAGCTCGCTCTCGGTGCGATCCTTGGAGGATGTTCTCGAAAACGGGCTGGCAGACCTCCTGTTGTCGCTTCAGATTTCAGGGTTTAAATGTTGGGGCCTTAGTACTTAGGAAAGGGTTCCTTTCAAGGGGTTTCTATAAGGGTTATTATAGAGAGCCTGTTATTATAGGGGTTCTATAAGGGTATAGTATAGGGGTCTTAGTAGTTAGAATAGGGTTTGGGGGTCCTTTATAGCCTATTGAGGCCCTATTAAGGCTGTTTTTTCCGGGGCTTATGTAAAAGCTTCTTCGGGGGCTGTCGAGTTTAGGATTTAGGAATTAGTGATCAGGGCTTTTGGTAGGGTGTTGGGTGCAGGGTTTTGCTTCTATCGTATCCCTGCTTGTTTTCGTTTAGGGGCGGCGATTTCCGTTGGCAGCCTAGAGCACACCTGAACTACAGATTTACTGCGACTGCTTGAACTTCTTTCCTTGGCAGCGTTATTAGGCCGCCGGGCATCGCAATGAAGAAGCTATCAAAACACAGGTGCTCTTGCTGTGGGCAATTAATATATGGAAGTGCTCGACTTGATTTCTACTACTGTTGCTACTCGGGGTACCCAGACCCCCAAAAGGATCTAAAAAAAAGATCCCCTAAGGGGGTTCCTATAAAGTACCCTTTAGTAGTTAGGGTCCCTACTTAGGGGATCTATTTTTCAGATCCTTTTGGTGGTCTGGGAAGTGTTCAGCGTGGAAGCAGACCTTGCTCTAGGCTTGTGTCTCATGGCGCGCAAATCTACGTGGGCTGGTTCCCGTGACTTTCGAAAGCACATGGGTAGTTCTCTACATTGCCCTAAATTAAAGTCCCTCTCTGGGTCCCCGATATAGTATGGCACCCTTATAAAAAAGGACTCCCAAAAATAATCTAATTTAGATAACCACCCAAATTCATGCCATGTGAGGTTGAAAGCTACCAGCCGAACACGAGCTTTCGACATTGAGGTGACGTGGCTTTTGGAGACTTTCGGATATTGACACGCCCACCCAGTACCACCGCGACGTGTCAGGATTAAACAAGCCATGCTGAGAGCGAAGCGGAGAACACTCCTTACCTTCCCCTTGGGATCTAAGTACTCATATATTAAGGCTTTTGGGCCCAAAGACCATACTATATAAGGCTTCTGGGCTATTTTGATCCCTAGGGTTCTACGACATAAAGACCCTGGACCTGAAACCGAATCCCCAATCCGCTTGACCCCCTTCCACCGCCCAACTGAATTGCAACCCACTCGCGACGGGCTATAGACTGTCACATAAACCCTACGTCCAGCCCAAAAGAGCCAACATCCTACTGGCTGGGCCGAGTAGCTCTTTGAGAGAGGCAAAGCGTTCTGCGCGATCGGCGAGATCCTAAGAGAGCATATGCCCAGACCCTAAACCCTGAGCCCTGAACCCTAAACTCTAAACCCCTAAACCCCTAAACCCTGACTTTGGGTTTTGGGGTCCGCCGTCTCCACGGCGATTGCAACTTAAGTAGCCATACCATGGGGGCCTTCGCACTTCGAATAGTGTTTTGGGGGGGGGTAGAGTCTACTATAAATATAGTAAGGAGGTTTTAGGGTTTAGGGTTTAGGGTTTAGGCCCCAAAGGATTTTTGGTCATTGTTTGGGCCCGTTTACTGCTGATCTTCTTCGCAAACTTGCCTCGAAACTTGGGCAACGAATATCACGGTCGGGGTCCATTGCATACGTTTATTTTTTGGGGTTCCTTTTACCATTATAACAAAATACACCCCAAAACCCTATTCTGATTACTANNCCCCCCCCCCCCCCCCCCGTCCCACCCTAAAAAAACCCTAAAAGCATGGAGCCGTCCAAGTCCAAGGCACCCGAGTGGAAATACTGTCTTGAACGGAGATGTCGTTGACCTCCGTCCCTTGGGCCTCTGAGGTTTCTCGCTCGGAGCTTTTGCAGGGCGTGTACTCTTAGAGGCCTCAATGGCCGGACTCGGGTTTAGGGGAGTTTCTTTTACCACTGACGTATAAAGCACGAAACCCCCTAAGTAACAGACTTGTGGATTGTTCAGGCTCCTACATCAGAGTACAGTATCCATTCATGGAGGATCCCTCATCAAGGAACTTTTTTGGACTTTAAGTAGGATGGCTTCATTCAGCAATTCTGGTGTCGCCGGGAACGAGGGCTGTGTGGCTATACTTACACTCGACTTGCATCATGCAGGACCTTCGCCAACGAGATTCCCTTTTCAAACCTCGTCGAGGAAACTCCCTGAATCCCTAACCTCTGAACCCTACATCCGACGCGCTCTTGGAGTCTTTTTGTCATCGTCTTGTCGAGGTCAAGAGCTTAGGGTTTCGGTGTTGAGGTCCATTGTTTGCGGCGGGGAGGGGGCCCAACAGGTTCGGGTCTAGAGTTTAGGTTGTTTATTAGGTTAGGATGCAGGGTACGCCTGACCCTAAGCCCTGCAAGGTTCAGGGTGTAGGTTTGAGCAAGGCCCCTTTAGTATCCCTAAATACGATCCTCTTACACCCAAGTAGGGACAATACACATTTTCCCAATGTCCGACACAGAATCCGCAATTTTGGGGCCAACTCATTACCAATACCGTCCCTATTTTCATAAAAAACAAAATAGGCCCAAAGCAACATCTATTCTAATCAACATAGGGGCCTTAATAAATAGAATNNGTTTTGGGGCATGCTATACTATATTCAGAATAATAAGGACCCCCAAGACAGCAAATGGAATTTTCAAGGCCCCTATGGTATTGACATCGAGGCCCCGAGAGAAACCATCAAGCCCCTCAAGCCCCAAACTCCCAACGCCTGCAGAGCTTCAATCTCGGACAGGAGGAGGATGCCGAAGATCTTGAGATACTCGCCTTGTCTTCTTTGCGTCTTCTGCTGGGGGAGACAGGGTCTTATGCTCAATAAACTCAGAGACTCCAATATCTCTGAATTAAGGAATAT